GTTCAAGGAACAATAAGAGGTCTTTCCACCTTCTTTGAATTTTAATTTTGTTTTAAAATTTAATTCCATGAATAAGAAACCAAAATTGTCTTAAAGGATAGCAAAAATTAAAAATGAAAAAAAAAAATTATATGACCTTGACCTTTGACCTTGAAAAAATTTTCAAGGTCAAAGGTCAAGGGTCACAATGCAATTGACCCCATGCTTCTATGACTTATAGTTTTCAAGTTATGAGGTTAAATAGGAAGTACAAAGAAGTTAAAGGGCAATAACTCATATAAGGGTTCATCAGATCCTTTTCCACTTATATAGTGAAGTTATGCCTTAAGACCCTTAAGTCATTAGTGAAGGTTTGGTGTCTCTACGGTCTACAGTTTTGGAGGAGTAGCGATAACAAGGTTTTTCGCACAAGGGGGAATAACTTTTAATAAGTTTAATCTTAGGGGATAAGAATGAAATCTTTGAAACAGTTTTAAGAGTACATATTAATGATGCATAGACACTAACACAAGACGAAAGACCACCTTTAAGCAATCGCTTAATGGTAGCTTAATGGTGACTTAATGGTGGCTTAAAGAAGTTAATTCCTTTAAGCCACCATTAAGCCACCATTAAGCTGCAACTTACAGGTGCTTAATGTCCAAACTTCATTAAGCTACCATTAAGCCACCATTAAGCTGAGCTTAATGGTGACTTAATGGTCAACCCTCATTAAACTTTTATGCATCTTATATAGAATCTTTGAACTAATTTTTAGTTATTTTAATATCATTTACGCAAAATCTATTCCAACTCATAATTCTGTCTCGATCATAATTTCTACGAGTTTTTTGTCAACATGCATAAACTTGATCACTGGGAACAAAGTTAGCTAATAGCCACAGGGGCTTGCTCGAGGTGTCTAATTTTTTCTTAAAATCATGTACAGTGATAATAAAACAAGACATCCTGTATCAGAACCGTATATTATTTTTTTTGAATAAATCATTATTACATGCGTTGTTTTTATTTTTAGTGTATATTATTACACACCGTGAGCAAGTCCTTGTGAAATATCTTAAATTTACAATACCAAAAATTTATTTGTTCTTAAAATTATCTATATTCATGAACACAAAATATATATTACTTTTTAAAAACAAAATGGTATTTTTATTTCATGTGTTAAAAGAAACATTCCGCTACAGAATTCACAGGAATAAAACTATATAATCTCATGAAAAAAAATCTCTGTCCTTTTTTTGTGGGGGGGGGGGGGGGCTACTGGTATACAAATGTTTAGTTTTCAAAGATTGACTTTTACCATGAAAAACTTTTTAATGGCTTTTACATCATGAATAATTCTAATTAATTCGTATTTTTTTTTAATAATGCAGCGGTAAGTATCTGTCAAAATCTAGTCGGTCTTCAATGATTGTTATTTCAAAATCGATTTTCAGAGGAACGGCCGATCAGACTAAACATGACATCCGACCAGATGTATACACATTGAGAAACGGGGTAAGATTAACAGATGATCAGTGTACAGTAAACCGACTGGTCAGACAATAGACCTTAATTAGGTGTCCCCCGTCCCCGGTTAACTAACAGGACTATACATACACAACGTACACTGACAGATTTTAATGATCAATTATTTTTAAAAAATTTAAATTTAACGCAAGCATATAACAAATTAGAATTTATGATTCATCGTAAAAAGTCAATTATTTTGATACCCATTATGATACAAAAAGAATTGAAACTGAATATGATATTCTAAAAAAAGTTTTTGTAAACGTAATTATCCAGGTAACTCTTACGCGAGGATTGTCACTAAATTGTTGACACAGAAACCGTTAATATCCGCAGTATATTAAAAATAATTGTAGAATCTGATGTTCCTCTTTCTTTTTCGATGATAGACTTTTGTGTTTTATCTATAATTGATTTATTTTCAATCATGATTTAATGATTACATTTCGAAAATTTTCGAATAACAGAGCGAAGAACTCAATCACATTACATCAATCTAAAAGCCGAACTCAGTGTAGAAATATATATTAATGTGTTAAGATCCACAAATAAAATTGTTTATATTTTGATTAATACATAAATTCAAGACAAAATACTAGTAAATACCTTTACAAGTCCAAACAAATTTTGAAAAAATTAAGGTTAAATATTTAATATTTTCGATATGTTATTAAGAGCAGCGATAGCCTAATGGATAAGGCGTTCGCCTTGCAACCCTAAAGTCATGGGATCGCGCCCCGACTCTGGCGATTTTTTTTTTTTTTTTAGATTTTGAATTTCGTTCTTTTTCATTATTTTTACCAAATCAAGATATAAGCGAACTCTACATTTATAACATTGATAACAAATCACTATAAAAATAATTTTTCACCCATATAAACAATATTATGGACTGCGTAATGTGACTTAATGGTGGCTTAATGGTGGCTTAATGGTAGCTGAATGGTAGCTTAATGGTGTTTGGACATTAAGCACCTGTAAGTCTAGCTTAATGGTAGCTTAATGGTGACTTAATGGTGGTCTAAAAGTTACCATTAAGGACCTGTAAGCCACCATTAAGCGACCATTAAGCTACCATTAAGCACCCATTAAGGACTTTGAGTTGGCTTAATGGTAACTTAATGGTGGTGTAAATGTTACTTAACGAGGCCCGATCTAGTTGAAAATTACGAAAACGGCATGATAAAAAATTTTAATTTTTGGAAATATTTTTGTATGTATTATGCTAAGAAAAATTAGAATGAAATTTTGTTACCTTGCCTTTATTGTAGTCAAATGGGGGCACTGTCAAGATATAGACCATTTTTCGTGTTTTTATACACAATTACATAGCAAAACTCTCCAAAAAACAAAGAAATTGAAAATAAAAAAAAAAAATACAGGATGAAATGTTTTGTTTTTCACATATATTATGCAATTTTCATTCTTCTCATAAAAAATGAAAAGAAAATTGGAGGTAGCCTTTATTGCAGTGAAAAGGGGGCATATCAAAACACAAAATTGGGATTTATTTTATCCGACTAGATATGAAATAAGTCGCCGTGGATTAACATAACATCAACAAACAACTGCAATACTGTATTAGTTTCTAAAAAACTAAATAATTCTTACATTCTGAAATAATTTTCTCTTATTTTTTTCTTAAAACGCGACATTGTTATACGTGGGAAAAGGGGGGGGGGTGTAAAGGCGACAAATGACGAATTTTACTAATATCATGTAATACATGTATATAGAAAAAAATATATATCGGGGGTTGCATTTAAATGATTCATTGACTGATTTATTTTAACTCAAGTTAATCCATGCACATTTAAGTCCTCAATAAAAAAGGGTGTGTATAAACACTGCAACACGTTCAAGGAGAAAGACTAAAATCGTTTACTTTTGGTTGTAGTGTTTGTTTTCTTAACTCACAAATTGAAATAAAAAAGGTAAAATTAATGCATATGTACCAAGAAATTGATACCTCATAATAAATCATGATCCAAAGTTGTTTATTAATTAAAAAATATTTTTAAAAAACATGTAAATTACGGAAATACCAGCTTTCAACATGTACATTCTATAGAGCTACCAGGTATGCAAGATCAGCGAAGCATTTTAGCGCAATTTGACGTCATTTTAATTGTGACGTTATTGTGTTCAATTGTGACGGCAGTCAAGGGTACTATGACGTGCGTGAGTCGACGCTGCGTTAAAACGTATGCGCAGTTCAAGTAGATCGGGCCTCGTTAAAGGTGCTTAATGGTGACTTAATGGTGACTTAAAGACAACCATTAAACCACCATTAAGGACCTATAAGCCACCATTAAGCCGGACTTAAAGGGTGTGTTTCATCTTGTGTAAATATATAATGAAAGACAAAAAAGATACAAAAAGAGCTGATTTTCTCATTTTTGGAATGACCTTGACCTTTGACCTTTACATGAATTTTAAGGTCAAAGGTAAATGAATTTTATGCAGTTGGTCCCATGTCTCTACGACTTCTTGTTTTGAAAATTTTTAATTATTTGTAAAATTCAATTACTTCCAGGGGCAATAACTCATTGAAGGGGTCAACGAATACTTTTGCAATGAATCATTGGAGTGTCTACTAAATTAGTTGAAGACATTAGAGAAGGTTTCATTTCTCTACGGTTCATGGTTTCGGAGGAGTAGCGATAACAAGGTTTTTCGCAAAAGGGGCTATAACTTTAAAAAGGTTTAATGTTAAGGGACAAGAATGAAATCTTTGAAATAGTTTTAAAAGTACATATTAATGATGCATACACATTAACTATATGATGAAAGACAAAAGAGATATAAAAAGAGCTATTTTACTCGTTTTTGGAATGACCTTGACCTTTGACCTTTAAATGAATTTTAAGGTCAAAGGTCAATGAATCTTATGCAGTTGGTCTCATATCTCTACAACCTCTGGTTTTGAAAATTTTTAATTATTTGTAAAATTCAAAAAGTTTCAGGGGCAATAACTCTTTGAACGGGTCAATGAATACTTTCGCAATAAATCATTGGAATGTCTACTAAATTAGTTGAAGACAATAGTGAAGGTTTCATTTCTCTACGGTTTATGGTTTCGGAGGAGTAGCGATAACAAGCTTTCTTGCGAAAGGGGTAATAACTCCGAAAGGGATCAAAGTTCATATACGCAGGGTCAACTGCGAAAATCTTTAATGAAGTACATTCTTATGGACTAAAAATCTTTTCGATAAATCTTGAAACTCAAAATCACACGGCGGAAAAATAATAAAAAATAATAAAAAAAAGAAACAGAAGAAAATCAATAGGTCTTTCCACAGAAAGGTGGAAAGACCTAAAAAGAAGAAACAAAAGGAAATCAATAGGTCTTTCCACAGAAAGGTGGAAAGACCTAATAATAAACAGAAGAATTTCAATAGGTCTTTCCACAGAAAGGTGGAAAGACCTAATTACGAAAATTTAACAAACCATTGCTGGTAGAAAGATATGTAAATAGGATTTACCAATTCTTTCATTATAGGCATCATCAGTGTGCATATTGCTGTGTTACTTGTAACTTCCGTGGCACCTGCTACTATAAAACATAGTACAAGATTCATCACCCACGGTTCGAAATCTTTAAACACTGTTAACTGTTCTCCAATCAATTTCGATAATCCAGAATCCTGAAATCAATGAAAAGAAATAAGAAAGGTAGATAACATTATATCCAGATCACACAATGTAATTATTAGGAAGGAAGAGAAGCATTCTCTCTGGCTATTTCTTGGCTGTTCAATTTCAATTTTAGTTGTATGATAAGAATATAGTAAACTAGTTTTCATTGACTGAATTGAAGACTTAAGTAGGGTGATTTTAGTACTGTGTATTGCTTTGTAAAATCTGTCTTTGACAATTAAATCAGATTCTTAATTTTCGGGTCAAAATTTCAGATCGTTTGCGTTTTTTCCCTTATTAACCTTGCTTCCTTTTGCTAGAGCAAAACCTCCTCCAAGCAATAAAATAACTCCCCACGGCACCATCTTTTCAGCGGCCTGCCATGGAAGTAAAGGTGGTAAGGGTTTGCCCTTTCCTAAGAAAATAAAACCGAACGTTTACTGATATAAACTTTGTTTACAAATGATATTGTTAATAAAAAAAAACCCAGAATCTATGAACATGTATATTTCATTACCGTTGCTGATTGTAGGGAAAATTTAAATAAAATAATAATGATAAAGCTTTCGGAATGTGTTAATGATATCATTTACTTTTTGTTCAAGAAAGACATAATATACTTATATAATATAACATGTGAACTTCAATTTGTAGAATTGAAAGTCTAGCATCTAGATAAGAAAAAAGAAGTCAACGGGCCTTATACATGTTGGTCACCTGAGTCTCATGTAACAATTGAATTTGGTTCGTGTTTAAAACTAGAGGCCTTAAAAAAGAAAATCAAATTTTTAAAACTAACTATAACTTAGCATGCTTACTTTGGTTACTAAAAACCCAGAGGAAGATCGGAGTAGCAAAGAGAAAATGCATTTCAACTTTGTAAACTTTGTGCAACCCCGTAACACCACAGAAACCACTGACCCTGGGGCCACAAATTTCATAATTTTGGAAATGTTATCATAAATAAAATTTCATCATAAATGGTTGATTAATAACCAAAGGACAGATTTCAAGGCATTAATTTATTTTCAACCCCCCACCGCAACGTATCCCTGACCCAGGGCCCAGAAATTGACCATCTGGGAAGAGAAACCTTTCTTCATCATAAATATGTACTTACATGTAGATCATTGACATAATATCCAGGAGCAAAGGAAAAGATTTTCAAAGGTATCATGTATTTACACTATATATGTAATCATTAGAGCCCTGCTCTAACACCACAACCCCTGTCCATGGGGCCCTGAAATACACAAATTGGACAGAGACATCCTCTCTCATCATAACTATGTACATAGTTCATTGGTTTAATACCCAGGAGCAGAGGAGAATGTTTTTAAAGAATTAGTGTATTTTCAATCAATAGAGCCCCGCCCTAACACCAGAACCCCCAAACCAAGGGACATGAAATTCCCAATTTTGAAAGAAGCTGCCTTATTCGACATTACTATAACTTGTTTAGTTTATCTAATATCCTGAATCAGAGAAGATTTTCAATGAAGAAAAACATTTTCACTATTTAATCCATTTAGCCCCGCCCTAGCACTAGAGCCCCTGACCCTTGAACCATGAAAGTCATAATTTTGGTAGAGGACTCAATGGTGATTACAATCTTGACAGCAGTTTGACTGCTTGATGTCAAGGACTACTAGTAAAGAGGATTTTTAAAAAATTGCATTTATTTAGTGGTTGTGGCCCCACTTCTCAGGCCCGTGGGGACCATGAAATTCACAACTTTGTTCCCTTCGCCCATAGATGATTTATGCTAGAATTGGTTGAAATTGGATTTCAAGAGTGGTTGCACAAAAGAAGCTGAAAATTTTTCAATGTTAACACACGACAAACGACTCACAACACACGACGACGGACGATAAGAGATAGCGATAGATAATATATATATATATATATATATATATATATATATATATATATATATATATATATATATATATATATATATATATATATATATATATATATATATATATATAATACATTTATCCCTAGTAATATCATGAGAAGGTCCCCACTTTAAATAGATAAAGTATTATATGTACACTTAGAAAGTTGAAGAAATATGATACATACTTTAGTTTACTATATAACAAATCATGATTCACCTTTAAAATTATGTGGAAGAACAGAGGGGAATAGAAAAAGACTGATAGCAATTAGAATGGCTGGTGTGGAATCAGTCACAGTTCTGAAAAAAGAGAAAGTATTCAGTTCATGAACTTTCCTTGTCAGTTATTCAATATGAAACTCTACATAAATGAAAAAAACTATTTGTAGGTGCATTTTTTTTTTTACTTCAATAGAACATTCATCAATAAACAGTTTTTAATAATAACTGTTTTGAATCATCTTTCAAAGATTTTTTTGTTAAGTGAATCGGTGTACTTATACAATAGGATGAATAAAAAGTGTACACCTACTTTTCTTGTAAAACACGGGTATGTATTTGATAACATAACTGTAAAGAAAGATATAAAAACAGATACCTTTCTGGAAATATATCACCCCATCCTCCAACTCCCCCTAAGTCTCTAGTGACCCACAAAAGTGCCAGCAGGACAAAATGAATAATGACTGCTCCCTGTCCAAAGCTACAAAACAATAGTACATACTGCTAATCAAAAGGTTGATTTCTCCATTTTCAAATTAATAGAATTTTATATCAAAACGTACGTTATTGAACCTAGTTCTTCATATTGTTGTCTTATAACATTTCTGACCTTCTTTGCCTGCTCAGGAGAGTTTTTATTATATGTTCTAAAAAAGAAATGGTATCATTTGTGACAAAATATAGGTTTTACAAATGTTTATTTGATGAATCTTTTTTTTCAACTATGTTGTAATGCTTAAATGCAAAATCTTACTTGCAGCGTAGAAATAGAACCTGAAGCCACGCCCAGACAAATATGACAATGATGGCTGATATTGGTAAACAGTATTGCATCCATGTAGTAAATGTGACAGGAGATGTGGCGTTTTTCTCTTGAAAAGCACTACAGGGTACAGAATTAATAAATAGTATATCAATAATCAGTTAACCTCATTATACACTTTCCATTTTGAATTTGCAAAGTGATACTTAATTTTTTTTTCTTTTTGAAAGGGTGCGAACTCCCTCGAGCCATATTTTTATGAACGATATCACTTAGTTGGAGACTTGACAAAACATTACACAGTATAAAGCTACATTATGATAGGTAAAGAAATATTTAATCAGAAGTACTCGATGTGAAAAATTATGGAATTCATTTACGAATCTGCTTACGTATCTGCAGCTCCTTTCATGATAACGTTAGGACCAGTTCCGGTAAGGCTAGCCACGCCCCCGCAGTTAGCAGAATAAGCTATTCCTAACGACAGAGCTTTACACATGCGTGAGTACTCTGCGTCCTCGGTCTTCTTTATGTTTGACTGTTTTTCAGTACTATCCATGGTGTGAAAATTGAAAATTTCAAGAAACCCCTGCCTTTTTAAAGCATTTTGATTTTCAAGTTTTAAACAGAAAGACATTTTAAATTAACACGTGTATGTTTTTGCTTTATCAATTCATCATCTCTTTTTGTTAAAAGAGTTTGTAAAACCACATAAGTCATTTTATCTGTTTTGTTATGAAAAGGTTTGCTATAAAGTAATATTTAACTTACGAATGTTTTTCATGGTCTTTGTCGAGATTTCCATTGGTCATATTTTTTATTTCATTCTTCACGGTAACGTCCAATTCAATGTCAACATCACCATGATCAACAACTGAAAAAAAAATTCTCTTACAGGAAAAATACGTTTAAAATCATACGTTTCCATGTATCGAAAAAAGAAAAGAAGTTGGTAACAGTTAAACATATTCAATTGAATAGAAAGTTGTGGAATGAGAGATATGGAGATAACGAGCTGTATTCAAGATCAAAAGTCTATGAAACAATACAAATAGGAGCAGAGCAAGCACGGAACTCCAAAACATTAGAGGTGGGATAGGTGGCATAAAGAACACTTTAGAGCAGATAATTTTCAAAAGAATATATGTACATGTATTAATTATATGCACGACTATTGTAGTATTTTCAAGTCCGGAAGGCTAGCTATATATTGAGATTTCCCCCAGCGTTCGCGTCAGTCCCTGTTTTTTACTCACTTTTTTGTTAGGTTTTCCGATATTAGAAAACAACAGTCCGATATTACAATGATACTATGAGTCTGATAATACATGTAAGTGTAATGCATTATATCTCATTACCATACCACTATTTTTTTTTAAATAAAAAATCACGAATATTTATCTTAATATATTAATTTTTTTCTGCAATAATATATTTAGCAAAATGTTCCCATAATTTAAAATTAATGTAAATTATAATATACTATCGTACATCACATGAAAAGGTTCTGTCTCATTAAATTTGGCATATTCTTTGTATGCTAGAGTCAAATCTAGACAAAGCTATGTTTTTAATTTTTTTACTCTTTAATTAAACAAACTTAACCATTCAAAATAGGATTAGAAGTGTAAAGTCATGCCATGCAATCGAAGAATAAAATAACAATTTTAAAGGTTAAAAAGGTAACGAAAGACAGCTTTTTACCATAAAGTTCATTATTGAAAATTTTAGTTTGGATATGCTACATTGTAAAGTAAATTGCCAAAAGCGTTAAGGCTTTCTTGACATCTTTGAGAAAAAAACATAAAAAGTTATCTATAATGTATAAAAGAAAGTTGAATTTTAAAGAAGGTGCATGAATAAAGTAACATTTTGTTTTGCAAAAGTGTAGTGAAAGGTTTTGAAAAAAATAGATTTTACGCTGTGCATAGATAAAATCTATAACATAAATTTTAAATGACATTAATAATTGAAGCAAGTAAATGTTAACCTTTGATGTCGTCTTTCTTCTCCGACTCTCGTGTTTCCTTCATTTGGACCAATACGGCGTTAGCTATAGGAATCATCATGGCGGTGGTGGCTGTGTTACTAATCCACATTGACAGGAACCACGTGGGTAACATCATCCCAAACATCAACCTGAAAGGCAATTTTTATGTCTAAAATTGATAATGACGTCATATCCTAGTAAACGGTACATGTAGATTCCATTTGAACGAAAAATCCTTTTGTTAACCATCCTTTAGTTTATTTTCGAATCTTGCACATGCTCATTGCATTAAACTTGCAAATAGATATCTATTTCAGAAATTTTATTTGTTGCAAATTATGATTGATTTTTTTTTTCTATTTTTATCAACGTTTTCATTTAATGCACACCATTAAGTGCAGTTTTCAACTCATGAAGTTAAAATTGTGCTACATGTAGTATGGTAAACATATCCCATTCATCAACGTGTTTTGATTTAAGTGTACCTAAACACTAAATATTTTTAAAATTAAAATCAAAACTTAAGTTTTCTGGTACATGTAGAAATGTAGGATTAATTTGAATATACATGAATACATGTATCAATTTTGTTTTTAAAGAAAGAAGCATAATATTTAGCATGGGTTAGACAAAAGCTTTTAACATTATGCATACCATCTTGGTTCGGATCCCACAACCATAAGAACTCTAAGGGCAAGACGTTTATGTATGTTCCAATGTTCAATGGCGGCTGCCACAATAAGGCCTCCAAGAAATAGAGCTGCTGTATCCTGTAGAATAATCAATTTTTAAACATGTATTTTTTTTTAAATTTCAAAACAAATGTCGCAAGTAGGAAAATATTAAATATACCAAGTGCCAGTTAAAAGATTAATAAATGCAAATATTTAATTCTTGTCTCAGTCAATCCGTTTTAAAAATTATGGTTTTGAATTGGTTTTACATTCTTCCTACTTTTTTTCAAACAATTTCTAATTTTTTAAAATTAAAAGGTTAGGTTAAAGAAGGATATAGGGAATAGAAATTCAATTTATACAAAATGAAAGGAAAAAGAGAGCAAGCTCACATACCCAACTCTTCCCCTAAAGTCGAAGTGCAGAAATTCTAAGAAAAATTAAAGGAATCGGAATTTCCTGGTAATATGCACATCTACATATTGTGTCCTAAATGTCTGCAAAGTTTGGCGAAATTGTGTGTAGCAGTTTATTAGTTATGTTGACAAACTATTTATCTCTATATTCAAGATAAGGCCAAAAATCTAAGTTGAAAAGTGCAGAAATTCCAAAAAAAAAAAAAATAAAGGAATCGGAGTTTCCTGGTAATATGCACATCTACATATTGTGTCCTAAATGTCTGCAAAGTTTGACGAAATTGTGTGGAGCAGTTTATGAGTAGTTGTGTTGACAAACAATCAATCTCTATATTCAAGATAAGGCCAAAAATCTAAGTTGAAAAGTGCGAAAATTAAAAAATAAAGGATTGCGCTGACCAAAAAACAGGTCTGACGGACTGACTGACACACTGACTGACTGACGGACGGGTCAAAAACATTATACCTCACGCAACTTGTTGTGTCGAGTATAAAAATGTTATTAGCCCAATAATTAAAATCGTCTTCATTGATATTAAGTAGGATCTTTTGTGATTCCCAAAACAAATAAAGGGTAAGGAGAAAGGCGTGGGGTAATAATCCAGAGGCAGTTCAGCAAGGGTAGCATATTTGTATACATAAAAGTTTTACAATTGTTTGCAATTATGTGCATGAGGAACGGGTCAATGTAATCATTTGCAATTGGAAATCAAAAAGTTATGACGTTTCATTAATTATTTTAATAGAAAGTTTACGTATTAACTTAAAATAACTCCAATTAGGTCATTGTAGCACTGTAAATTTATAAACGCACATTAAGGTATGTACTGGATACATCTTTAGCATACAATAGTCCAGTCATAGGAAAGAGAATGATTGGTAATAGTGACGTCACAGCTATTGGCAAAGCCTCTGTAATCCAAAACACTGCCATGATGATGATGCAATAAGCACATTTCGCTTCCTATAAAAAATAAGATTATCTTGAGACTTTATCCTTAAAGGACTTTACTTTATATGCTTGTGTATAAATATTTCTCTGAAAAGATAAGGGAATGAACAAGTATCAGTTGAGTAAGAATTCCATTCTGGAGGATATCTTTTTTGTTTTTGTTTAATGATTTTGGAATAGAAAATGTGGATGCAAAATTAAATGTCTTAGAATGCAGTAGTTAGATTTTTTTTATCTGAATTAATGTAATATTTTATAATGTAATAAAAAGTACATAATATGTTGACGGTGCGACCGTTATGGCGAGCGCAGATGTTTATTTTGTTAGAATTTAAATCGTTATTTTCAAACTGCACGTATATTTGATTTTCTTATTTTCACGTATACATGACGTAGTATGTAAATTACATTTACCCCAAAGAACAGTGCTGAAAATAAGAGAAGAACGTTTCGTTTGCTATTCTTCAAATTTATCCATTAAATCAGGGCATGTTTACTTTTAATAAACTTTTGCTAGTTTGTCACGAAAAATCATTTTTATTTGATATATTAAACAAGTGATGCATTATTAATCTAACCACAAAAATTTCTCCACTTCGATTGGTATCAAAAAATTCTATCGAATGAATGTGCAGTAGTCCGAATTTTCTCTTCGCCTAGGCGTTCCTTAAAGAGCTCGCAGTGACGAGCGTCGCTTCGCGACGCTCGCTGCGCTCGCTATAAGTCATTTTTTTAACAAAGTCAATACTACAATGATTGCACTCTTCTGCACATTCGTATAATTTTATTGTAAATGAAAGTATTTCTGAGTTTTTTTTTAATTATAATTAATACGTTGCATATTTTCATACAAATAATTATTTCAAAAGCAGCATTAAAATAATGCAAATTAGTATATTTTATATGTCATACGGCAATGAAGTAAGATTGTTCGAACGTATTGTTTGTCCTTGTTGAAGAAAGCTCTCAAGACACTGTTATCCTTGATAAAAGTGCATGTTGTATAGGCACGTAGCATCGTTTTTGAAAGTGGGGGGGCCAATGTAAAATTTTTTTTAATTACCTAAAAAGTTGACAAGCAAAAAAAAAAAAAAAAAAAATAATTGCCGAAAATTAAAAGTTGCCCAAACTCGAAAATCTATTTAAATGAAAGTATTTTTGGGGGGGGGGGGGGTTTTTTTTTAATTTTTTCAAAGCCAACTTACTATCTCTTCCAATTTTTTTAAAAGCAGTATTAAAATCCAAATTAACTGCTATTTATATGGTTATAAAGTGGGGTAAGATTCTCAATGAACATTTACTATAGTAAAGGCTATGTTGGGAAGAAAGGGGGCTCAAGACACCCCCCTGTTCCCCCCTTGTTATCCTTGTCCCTGTTGTATACATATACCTCTGCATGCATATACATTTGCATAAATCCCTTAGGTCTGTTATTAAAAAAACATATATTTAATTGGTTCGTTCTGGAGGAATTTTACATGCGACTTCATTTTCTTTTAACTTCTATGTCAGAATAGTCGACATCAATTCATAGAAATATTCTTCTGGCTTTGAAAACATTGATCGAGAGCAATGATCGGTTCTTTTTCAAATCAGTGTTTCTTATCTCAAGTTTTATTTGTACATATATTTATTTTCTTCTGTGGTTCTATTCAGAAAATGATGTCTTACACTGAAAAACTAAAGCAGGTCATACGTAAAGTGCTGTATCAAATAATGGTCTTCACGACACAAATATTTTTCTTTAATGCAGAAGTTTGTGCAAATTAATGGACTGAATGCCCTGTTCCTGCAGATATATTGTTTAAATGAATGTGAAAGTAAAATTAGAAAGAAATGACCATCAAGGTAAAATAAATACCGCGAATACATGTACCTTACAAAACAAATGTTTTGTCTTGATCTGAATGATTTATTAACAGTGCAGATTTATGTGTATAAATGAGTGAAAGGGAAACATCAATGAGAAACATCAAAAAAATTCCTTAGGTTATACACTTGTACGTTTTAGAAATATTTATACTTGATGTCGCTTTGAAAAAAAAATGTTTCAAACAAAGACAGCCTGAATAGCTACTTTTGTAAAGCTCATTGAGAATTAACAGTGAACTTTAAATTCATGTTAAGTTTCCAAATTAATTTCAGAATTAATACTTACATCTCCATTCACCAGTAGAATTAGTGGCAGCAAAACTATTGGAGTTAAGATGACAATGATGATATTTCTTACAGTCAGAAATAATCCACACGCTGTCTGAAAACTAGACATGTCCGTATTGTTTATTTATTTTTCACAAAATGGGAATATAAACAACACAATTCCGTGTAACTTTGAATCAATTACAAACATGCATGATAGAAAATCCAGGTATGTGGCGCTGGAGATTAATGCACTCCTTGTATTAAAGAAAAAAACATGCTCTGATAATGCAAACTAGAGCAGGTCAATATAAAATGCGATGGTTTAACAAATAATGGTCTTCACGACACAAACTTTTCTCTGCAAATGAGAAGTTGGTGAAAATTAATGAACTTTTATCACCATATGACTGCCCTGTTCATTCACAAATAATGTTCAAATTAACATGAAAGTAAAATAAGTAAGAGATGACCATCCAGGTAAAAAAAATTCCGCTGTAGTCATGTTATCTTGCAAAATAATGTTTGCTATGGCTAAATTTATGTCAATCCTAATCAGTTCCTTCTCCAAAATGATTGATAATTGTCTTGCCTGTCATCAAGGTACCCAATATTTAACTCTGTATATTTACGAAGGAATAAAAGTTTTGGAATGCAAATGAACCCTTTTCATTTTCTAGATTTGAAGAAAGTCAGTGTTTGTGTTATTTATCTTCTTTGAAAACAGGAGTGAAAAGATACATATATTTAGGGTTCCTTTGTTTACAGTTTGAACTTCTTTCAACAGCACAACTTGATGAAAAGACCTGCATTTTGAACTCCCAGATTAAAAGAAGAGTCGATGAAGTCTGGCCTAAACAGTGATTGTAATGAGATATTTTAACATGAACAAGGTCATTAAAACTTGGCTTTGTAGCATGGACTTTTTGCTAGCATTTTGATATACATTCTTTCAAGTGTGCAGTAAAATCAATAATTACGTTTTCAAAGCGAATGATTTTTTTCAAAATCGTTTCGCCAAAGCCTTAGCTCTTTGGATCCAAAAGAACATTTGGCCTTTCCTCAAGTAAGACTTTTGGAATCTTTACAACTGTATTCCTCTTTCTCGTATTTTACGTCCTAATAGGGCTAAAATGACAAAGCGTCGATTTTGGATGTAACGTTTGGACTATTTCTATAACCAGAGAACGAAACCTGTATGTGGCGATAAAAGACAGGACGGAAAAGTCCTTCAAAAACAAAAATCAGGGGTGGGCACAAAAGTTTTTATACTAGTTCAACCTTCAGTAGAAAAAATAATAGAAGATGTGAAATAGTGTCAAAGCTCTAACTTCATCCTTGGAGGGTATGTATTGATTCTGAATTTGCATGGAACAAGAGGGGTAAAACAATATTCTTCATTTTTTTATAATGAAACGTAAAAAAAACAGAGAGAAAAAGTTTTATGCAACAAATTAATTACAAATTCTGAGCAGAAATAACACAATCCTCTGAAAACACCAGAGATGGGATCAGGTACCATGTAGGAGCGAACATCCTCTTTCGGAATATGAATAAAGATTATCCCAATCAGCATTTTACTTCAACGTTATAATTATGTTTCTCTGTGTTACATCAATTTGCGAACATTTTCACTGACGTTTAAAATCCACAAATTGCAGATTGAGGAAAACATAATTATATACAACGAAGACAAACCAAAAATATGTTTTCTACTGTTTTTAATACAAGTTCAAATACTAGTACAAAAGAACATTATTCTTATTCTCTATAACATGATACTAAATTTATCATTGCATGTTTAATAGCGACAATCATGTGTACTTATAAAATGTTCAATACATGTATATGTAATAAGTATAGTACCATATATCTTTTCCTCATGAGATACATTGTCTGAAATCATTTGTATTTTGTATTGGTGGGTGGTTGACTTTTTTGTGGAAAGAATACGCAACTTATTCCCATTTGTAAAATTTAGAATTCTGTAGAGCTGATAGTGTCAATCAAAGAGGTATCCTTATTTAGCCATGAGATTATCATACACATTTCAGGGCAGATTTAGTGGTAGTGATGTTTGCGGTTTTAAATACAGCTGGAAGGGTATGAAAACCAAAAATGGCTTGTCCCCATGTCTCCGTTCCAAGAACTAGCACAAACACTGCAACAATGTTAATGAGGAACCCTGCTAGAGCCTGCAATCAACAAAAATGTCATAAAATTACATGTATACATACTACTTAAACATCGAGAAGATTATGAAATGTTTTCGATTTAATCCTGGAACATTTACATAATCTCTCAAATACATACATGTAACTATGTATATTTTATCTGCAACCACAAGCTAGTACAACTTTGTTATCAACCATGGAGTTTACCAATAGGAATCTCTGATAGTAATATGTTTCTTTCAAATATCTTTCTGTATCACTAACGGTCATTGAAGTCTGTTTTAAATTTAGCAGATAGTAACATTCTTTTATATTTGTTTTGTTAGACACCATATCAAGTACGATGTCAATAGATTCACAATTACTTTCTAAAACTGTTTGTTTTGTGCAGTGAAGTTGTACATTTTTAACTGTCTCGAAATTCTAACTAAATTAATATAATTATACCATGCCTATAGCTGTTTTAAACACTTGTCGTAATGCAACGTTTCTTTTATAAGGAATAAGAATTACCATGTCTGCGACTTTAACATATCCGTATGAAAACACAACAGCGTTTGGAGGAGTAGCGACAGGAAGCATGAAGGCAAAGGATGTAGCAATGGCGGTGGGAAACATGAAGTAGAGTGGATTGACTCCAAGGGTCAAGGCCTATAAACGAAGGAATACAAGATTTTTTTTTAAGTTTTGTCTTTTACTAACCAGCAGGTTTTTTTTTTATGGAAAAGTCTCTGAAATATTATGTAAACTTTTTAAGAAAATATGAGAAATACTAGTACTTTTTGAAAGGGCAACGGATCAAAATACAGTTTTGTATTGAGCAAATACTTTTATTTAACAAATATAACAATATTTATTGACTGATTAATTTAATATCCTGGATAATTATTGCAGCTTTTAGTTTTTAAGGGAAACAATCCTACCAGCTCACTCATTATAGGCATCATAAGTGAACAAATAGCCGTATTGCTGGTGACCTCTGTCGCTGACGCCACTATGAGGCAAAGAACCAGATTCATGACCCAGGGTTCAAAATCCTTAAACACACTCAACTCACAACCAAGCCAATCCGATAATCCAGATACCTTGTAAAATAGAATTTACAAAAAAAAAAAAAAAAAAAAAAAAACAGAATTTGACGTCTCGAAAACAATGTATAAAATATGTAACAATAACTTACACATCCACATACCCAACAAAATAAGTAATTTTAGATTATTTTATTAAATTCATTTTTTAAGTGTTTTATTTGATTTGTACCTTACTGCCATGAGCTAAAGCAAATCCCCCGCCAAGTAAGAGCACAACACCCCACGGTACCATCTTCTCTGCTGCTTTCCAAGGTAGAAGAGCTGGTACACTTTTACCGTTCTGTCTTTCTAAAATACAAAAAGGTTCCCTGTGATTGCTTTTAATGTATGTTACAGCATCACTGTAATTGCAAAAACTAATTTAATGTATGCCTTTATCCTCCAAAAAATGGAAGGAGAAAAATATGACATGTACATGCAGTTTCCCAATGCATAGAAACTTTAACTTGCCACTAAATCTCCAAGGGATAACAGCGGGAAATAGGAACAAGCTGATAGAAATGAATATGGAGGGAGTGGAATCCGTAACAGTCCTGGAAAACAATTTTATTTTTTCTGTCAGTGACCTATATACATTGAAATAAGAATGTGAAGAAAAGTCATTTTTCTTAATGTAAGTTTACACTTACTTTGGTGGGAAAATTCTACCCCACCCTCCAACACCTCCTAAGTCACGTGTGATCCAGAATACTGCCAGTAACACAAAGTGCACAATGACTGCTCCCTGGGCAAAGCTGAAACATATACAAGTAAGCATTGACTAGCACTGGTAGCCTCATCTGATGTTAATATTCTAAATTGTTTAAAATTTATGAAAAAGTCATACCTGATTGGTCCAAGCTTAGAATATTCCTTTCTTATAACATCTTTGACTCTTTGAGCCTGCTCCGGGGTATGTTTTGTTGTCCTTTAAAGATTTTAACGTAAAACTTGTTTTTAGGGTTTTATGAAATTAAACGTACAACTTGTATTTAAGGTTTTTATGAAATTAAACGTACAACTTGTATTAAAAGTTTTATGAAATTAAACGTACGTATATTTCAAGCTTATAGATCACAAATTCCCTCAATTAATTTCAAATAGTTCAAAGTGTATTGTATATTTCATTTAAATTATTAATTTGTTACTTTTAAACAGATTGCCTACCTGCATCGTAGAAAAAACAGCTGTAACCAGAGCCATATGAATACTACCAAGATTGCAGAAATCGGTAGACAGAACTGGATCCAGCTCGCAAATGTCACGGGGGAAGTAGCATTCCTTTCTTGGAAAACTCTGAATTTATCAATGATTTTTCCCATTAATAAACAAATAATTTTGTACCCTTTATGCTTCAGATAAAAAGAGATTTAAATCAAATAATTATATGATTGGGGGGGTGTCTTTACTTGTCAGCTACGCCTTTCATGATGACGTTTGGATTGGTTCCTGTAAGACTAGCCACGCCCCCACAATTAGCTGCGTAAGCAATGCCTAATGACAAGGCTTTGCACATGCGTAAATACTCAGGGCTTTCCCTTTCTTCATTTTGAGCCGGTTTCTCTCTGGAAGGCAGATATTGATACATGATTTACAATGAAAGAGAAAAATATTACAAGCCGTTTGTTTCAAGACATTGGATGAAACTGCACAATTCAGTTAACTAATTAGTCATGGAAAGGTGACTGAATTGCAGAGCTAAGCCATTCAGTCACCTTTCAGTAAACATTCAGTCACCTTTCAGTTAACTAAATGACAGATTTTTATCCTTTTTTATTGACAGATATTTGATATTTTACCAGAAAAATATTTCGTTTTGCAAATGACATGTCTATAACCTAATATCATTTATTTACTTGCCTATTTAGAAAACATGTTTCTTTCTTTCATAAAAACAAACATTAAAGAATTGCAAAATATGTCAACTATATAAATTTTAATATGTAAAACAAGTAAAATATGTCGAACAAAAAATATGAATTTAGCATAATAATGTGGCATACATTAGAATTTTCCATTCACAAAAATGCCTACCATTTAATATTTATCTCGAACCATTTCAAGCGAATTCAATATATCAATGCATTGTAGTATGAAAATTTCCCTCGAAAACATTTCTAGCAACGTAACTTACATTTTGCTTATCTTTTGATCTTTTTCCTTTAGAGAACCATTTTGCTCTGACATTTGTACCTGTATAACTATAGCGGGAAAGGTAAAACTAAAACAAACTTTAAATTTTAGAAATCAAAGTTGTGAGATCCTCATTTTCATCTTTGTTTTTGGTATTTTGATCATGAATTATATTACATGCTTGTAACTTAGCGGAGAAACCGCTTAATTATTCTTATAATTTCAAGTCGATTGTTCTTTAAGTTGTTACATGTACAAACCTAGTTCATCTTCAATGTCTGCATTTTCCAGATTCTTTGTTTCTTTTAGCTGAACCAGGACAGCGTTAGCTATAGGAATCATCATGGCGGTGGTGGCAGTATTGCTAATCCACATGGACAGGAACCACGTGGGTAACATCATCCCAATCATCAACCTGAAAAAATACCTAACACGTGTATGTTATTTACAGAACAGATGCATTGTCTGAAAATGATTCGGAGTCATATAGCTTTCCTTTTCCATCCATTTGTCTGTCTGTCTGTCTGTCTGTCCCTGTTGCCTCCAGAAATTTAACCTAGTTCATACCTTTTGATCGGTTGAAACTATCATAATGGCTTTTGGGTCTCATATGACAACAATCCTTGTGTCAAGACATTTGTGGCACCGACAAATTTGACCTTTGTGTTTGGCCCTCTTTAACTTTGACACTTACATATTTGACCTTGGATACAGTTTTTGAATGGTTGACGGCTTGGCGCGAGGGCTTTCTTGTTTCACAGGTGTATTTTTGGGGACACGACCTTCCGCCGGGTACCAAGATCTTTTAACTTTTGACCCTGACCTTGGCTTATGGCATGCTTTTAAAGATATTTAAGCATAGGTATAACTTTTAAATAGTTTGTGTGTGGACTTTTATGTTTCACAAGTGTATTTTCGTGTTACAAGATCTTCCTCGGAAATCATTATTTCGACCATTGGACGTGACTGTGACGTTTGATCTGCTTCTAAAAAACTAACCTGGCTTGTCATTACTTTTAACTATTGTTGCTAGGATATTCACATTTAATTGATTTATTCATTCATTTTTTCACCAAGACTTTTGAGTTTAAGTTGCATTTGAGAAACCTTAACTTTTGAAATGACCTGCTAAACATCAGTGTCACAAAAAAAACTTGCTACGTTTAGAATTAAATCCCCTCAGAAACAACATAGAGTCAAAAGGAACATCTTTAAAACAGTATTTGCCAAGTTAACACTTAAAAGTGCATGTTTTTATATATCTCAAAATGTAAACGACGATTTACAAATACCTCATTTAATTAATGATATCTTGGCTTTCATCATGTTCGTGCTTGGGGTCTTTTTGTGGGTAGTTGCTAGAACACTTATGGTTAAATGTATTTTGTTGAGATTTATGTCAAACTGTATTTGTGTAAACATGTTAAACTTTAGTTTATAACTACATGTATGGGATGTATATTAATATTTTCATGTAAAGACAAGGTTGTTACAATAGGCCAACTATTTTAGGATAAAATATCTATACATGACTATGTACATTGTAATGCTAACAAAAAACTTGCCATTTTGGTTCTGACCCGACAAGCATGAGGACTCTAAGGGCAAGACGTTTATGTATATTCCAGTACTCTATGGCGGCTGCCACGATCAAACCTCCAACAAATAGCATGGCGGTGTCCTGCAAGTAGTTCTCTTACATGTAGTTTACTTCGCTTTTGTAATATTGAATAAAATAAAGTTCTAATCTATTAAGTCAATGTTCTTATAAAGCATTCAAAGAAAACGACAGTTTTATGAAACACTTGTGAAATCATATAAAAAAAAGTTAGACATAATATTAAAAAAATAAGCTGCAATTAATTTTTAATGATCTTGATATTTGTAATAAAAGTATCAAATCACGCAGTACAATACCTACATTGAGATATTTGTTTGACACATCTTTGGCACTTAATAGTCCAACCATAGGAAACATGATGATTGGTAGCAATGACGTCACAGCTATTGGTAGAGCCTCTGTTATCCAATATATCGCCATTACAATAATACAGTAGGCACATTTTGCTTCCTAAAACATTAAATAAAATATCATTGAGCGAAACTTCCCGAAAAGATTATCTATAGATCTCACCAAATAATACTCCTCGGGTAAACCATTGTAATTTATGTGCATCATGTACAAAACAAGGTTGTTACTCAGTCAAACATAGATTCTGCTCATCGATATTTATTGTCCTTTTAACTATGCATTCCAGTTGTTCATACAGTGTATGAGGATACTAGGTAATGAATATTTAAAAATTTTATATAAGCAAATTACAGATTCACATAAGGCGCACGCATGTTTTACACCTTTTCGCATATTACTAGTACTCTTTCCTCTATAAAAAAATATATATATATAAAAGTCTTTAAAACTACTACAGATGAATGAATAGATGTTGAAAAATTGAAAAAAGAATCGCTTGGAGAAACTGCATCAATATAAAGCATTTTAACAGAATTTTAGTTGGATCCGTAAGTGCTTGTTTTAAATAGTAAGTGCAATCAAAAGAATGAACAATTCAATGATACACTTGTCAAACCTTTTCTACTTTGAAACATGTGTGTCTTACTTATACGACCTGATTATAGAAAAGTCTTGACATTAACCTTTTATGTCCGCCCTTAATTAAGATTTGTTATTTCCATAAATACAAGTACGCATACCACCGGATTATTTATTCATTGTGGCCGCTTTTGTTGTTACAGTACTTCGTTGCAACAAGTCACTGAGAAGCAAGGATGTTGACCCAAATATGACATAAATTAACCAAATTCTATCTTTCATTCATCTAAAAGCTAGATTTATTGAATGACGGGTAATATGTATATTATCCCCATCTTTCACAATAAAGGTGATGTTGAATAGTCTAACACATGCATCGACATGATTAATAGTTTACACATGAAATATTTATAAGGCAGAGTGCACAGTTGAAAGTAAAGATGGCATAAAATTAAAATAAAACTAGTCTTACGTTTCCTTCCACCATGAAAAGAATCGGAAGCAGAATAATCGGTGTAATGATAATGATCAGAATTTTCCGAACACTGAGCACCAGATTTAAGACATGCCGACATGATTTCCTCGAAGGTATTCTTCCTGATGCCATTTTTTCTTGTCGGTTGACCACCAAGTCCAGACGACCGAATCACTCTACCGAGCCAGCTACCTATTCTGCCATATCGGTGTTTAGATTTTCAGAAATCCTTAATCGCCAAAGAGGATGTAACTTATCAGTTGTTGTTTTGGACGTTTGTTTTTGTAATTAAGTTGAGTCGCGGTGTCGTAGAGTCCTCTACACAAGGATGCTTAACTTTTATGGTCTGATAATAATCGGAGCACTTTATGATATATCATTCCGTACGAGGTTCGTAAGTGATCCAACGTTTTTACTTTAAATTGATGACGAATTTCTGTCATTCAAATATGTTTAAGAGGGCGAGATAACCGTAATATTCTTGTACATATGTATACAACGTACATGAACATGTATCTAAATAGAAAGAGGCAGATGCTATCTAAACATATTCAACAGAACTCGTTAGGGGGATAACAGTGAACACCCTTGACAACCTGAGTTCTAGCTAGGTTTTTTTGTGTGGAGGAAAATTTCCGTGGGATTTATCCCATTTGAACAAATTAGTGGGAGAAAAATCCCAATACATCCCATCCGACATGTACACCCCCCCCCTCCGGGAGAAAGGTGAGATATTTGTTAAATCTAAACGAACGCCCACCTTTCCCATGGGACTCGGACGTCTTTAAAAAAACAGAGAGAGAGAGAGGTTTGTGAATTCAACATCAGACCTTGTGATATACTGCTAAAAAAAGCGACCAAGTGCTTAAATTTTTTTTTGGAAGTCGCAATTAGAAATGGTTGCAAATGGTCTAGACAATTCCGGGTATGGAATTAAATGTCGCACTGTCATATTGAAAAAAAAATAAAGCAATGTACTTGTACTTGTCATAAAGGTTGCATAAATAGATTTTTTTTAATCCTCGTTGTAAGTATTTTCTGTAAAATGACGACCAAATATAAAATTTCAACACGAACATAAATATCGTGCTAGTAATAAGCTGCCAACACTTTTTTTTACTCTGAAAAATTGACTAGATACAGAATGATGGACAAGAAATACTAAAGGTGAGAATTTTTTAATTATAATTTTAATCTGAATTTGCAGCTAAAATTCGAAATTTCTCAAGCTCAGAAGAAAAAATCTACAGAGCCTAGATAATTGTAATATTCTTAACAAACATGGACCAAATAACTTTTTTATGCAATAGAGAAGTAAAAGATCGATCGATACATGTATCAACCCTAGGACTTCATACGCATATATGAATTTGTATATTTTTAACTAAATTTACACCTAAATTTTAGTGAGTTTTTAAAAGTTAGCGATATAATGTTGATAAAAATTAATGCGTTGAATTTGGCGGATATTTCCATTATGACGTCATTTTCCTGTACGTTGAAATGAATTGTTTTGGGAGATTGTTACTTACATGGATCATATGAACGTTTATATCTAATTTTGCGCAATTATATACAGCCCTTGTTTTCTCAAAAGTATATTCGTAAGTGTTAACGTCCGATAACTTTGTAGGAATGTTTGAGAGGGGTGGGATGTTTAAATCTCTTTTGAAAAATCTGCATGCTTCAGTGAATATTCACCTGAATGGACAGATTGAATAGATAGACGTCATAAGGTAAATATACAAGTCGTTGTACCTGAAGAAAAATAATAAACAGGACATGAGAAATCCAGGTACGTGGCAAAAGTTATTCCTCAATTTTTACAAATTTTATTTCATTTCGTTGTGACTGAACAGATTCCCACTTCATTTCAAATGTATGTACCCATAGAGAAAAAACAGATCCCTCTCTCATTTTGTGATGCTTTTAATATACTAGTAATCCGGGACGAGTATTTACATCTAATGACTGAAAAGTGGTTTGTTCACAATTAACTTATCAGCCTATTCTGAAATCTTTAATCAGTGTGTTAGTAAGTACAAGTACGTATACATTCAAGGTCTCCTATGAACTTGACTTACAATAGCCTCTTAAGATTTCTTCATGAAATTTTCCCTAGAGTGCTGATGGCGAGTTGAAAAGATTTAACGTACTTAGCAGTTTCTTTGTTATTGTTGATATCCGTAGTTATATACGTTCATTAAACTTTTATTTATTCTATAAACAAGAAAAATTAGCTCATTTGCACAAAAAGAGAAGATCATGCACGTGTATGTGATCTTTTATCATGGACCAGGGGTCATCATTATGTATTTATTTGACATTATTATTTTTTATTTGGTCATTTCATTTATTTATACACTGTACATATGTATACATGTATGTCTCTCCGTTTTACAATTTTTAACGTTATTACATTCTCAGAAGCAAAAGCTTATGAGAAAAAGTACAATGTATGCCCAGAGAAATTGGAAAAATATAGACAATCACAAAAGAGATGATAAAATAGTGTTATCACTGTTTTTCATTGGGAAAAAACGTTTAATAAATTTATATTCAAACGACAAAAAATCGATACCTTTCACATCTGCTGCGGGAAAGTGTATATTATTTTATCTCGATCGTCAGTTTTTTTTTTATCTAGCTCACAAGAATATAGGAGCTGAAAGTCCAAACAATGTCTAATAGAATTTGGGGGAGGGGGGGGGGGGTCATAGTAACAGAAAATCACTAATATGTTGCAATTGGGGGAAATCTACTACATTTATACATGTATGTACAATACGAACTTTTGATTGGGGGATGCATGTATATGTATACACGGATTCATGGTATACTTATTTGAAAGGGAAGGGTGTCCTCCATATCATATTGTAAAAAATACACTTTGGTAAAGATTACAATACGACACAGGTTTACGATCGACTTAATGCGCTCCAAAGCCCATAAAATAATGTATGGGGGTTTTTTTTATTTGAATTAACTCAAAGAGAATATATGTCAATGAAAAATGAAATGTCTATGGACCAAATTCTGTTGATTTAATTAATCTAATTTTAGTTAATTTAGTTTCAAATGGGTCTCTTTAAGTTTTCTGTACCTATTTTCTATATTCAAAATAGGGATCGAAAGAAATACATGTATGGATTTATTTTAAATAAAGAACATTAACCTACATTTTTACTTCTCAATAAAATATGATTACAATAGATTTAAGTCCAATAAATAAACTATACACGATTCATCAAGTTATTTTATTTATTTTCTCCTGTAAAAGGAAAGAGATACAGGTGAGCGCATACTACCACAGACCTCCTCGATTTCAAATGTATACATGTAGCATATGATGCACTCTTAGTAACAAATCTGTATATCCGGTATACACAACCGCAGACGACACGTCAGTTACATTAAAAACACACTAAAACATCCTCTTATTACTTTGTTACTTGAGCATCAATTTAAATTGGCAATACTTATCTCTAATCTAGGGCACCAACTTAAAGACTAAAAAATACAAGGTAAGGGTTTTTCTTAATAACTTACACCAGTTTAAGAAAAAAAATCAGAGGGAAATTTTAAAGATTACTTCAGTTTAAAATTTGTTTCACTTGTCAATTTTATAAATGACTGGTAACCAACAAAATAGTGGTTGCTTAAAATTTAAAGGATTGCTATTTGTATTTCATGATCAAATGTGAATTGAATGTATTTAATTTGAATTTTAGGTCACACAAACTTGCGAAGAAATGTAAATTATTTCATCATCAAACAAAAGAGACACACGAGTATTTTTCATTACATATCCTAATCTGCAATATTTTTGATAATACTTTTCATTAAGGGCATCCGTACCATCTGAATTGTAGTTATTGTTTCTTTCCCTTACGTTTTGATAGATATTACATGTAAGTGGTAAAGGAACGTACAGTGTTTTGTTGAACTTGTTGAAACTTCATACTTCTTCATTTTATTCATTCTCCCTACCCTTGTTCCTCCTTACCCCCGCCCCCCGGCCCCCTATTTTAATACCCCGCTTGAAAAGCTGAAGGGTATATGGTGATCGGGATGTCCGTACGTCCGTCTAGCTGTTCGTCTAGGTGTCTGTACGTCCGTCTACTAGTATTATGCTTTGGAGTACCCATCTCTTATCCGCAACCCCTCCTTTACCACTGAATCAAACTAGAGGTACTGTAAGCAATGAGCTCACTTAATGATACCCCCGCCTCCCATATGAATATAATGGCAGTGTCCATGTTTTGCCATGTGAAACCCAAATTATGTTTTGGTTCAAAAAGTATAATAGGAGGTGCACAGTTGCAATATGTAATAAAAATTCTGTGAAAGTCTCATTAAATTTCATTCAGTGGTATGAGAGGAGTTACGGGTAAGAGATGGGTAGCCCAAAGTGTATTTTACTTTTTGATCCGACACATGTTTTGGGTTTCCCATAGCAGAACATGGACACTTCCATTATATTCAAATGGAACGCGGGGGTATCATTTAGTTAGCTCATTGCTCACTAACTAGTACCTCTAGTTGAATTTATTTTTAATAAGAAAAATATTAAACGTTAAGTACCTGTGCTTGTAGATTAGAGATCTCGAGTTCGCAAGAACATGTCAACTATTTTTGTAATCGATGTAATCATTATGACAGCATATCTATATAGTGAAAGGTAGTCCTTTGCAAAGATAATATTTACACAGTATTACTTTTTCCAGGCGGAGTCTCACAATGAGATGAGGGTAATTTGGTGTTTTCTTGTCATCTGCATTTTATGCACCAATGTCCAGTCCAGACATCGTCATCAACAGCAGCGTTTGAAGCAACTCCTTCTACATCGGCGACAAGGTCAGGCTAAAACAAAACAATTAGGGAGTAATATCTGGTCGATTTTATTACTACCCATAGATTTCATGTGAGAAAATGTTAGAATTCATTTGATTACAAGGTATGGACAAATTTTTACTCATTCAACCTGTTTGTCCTGCTCGTCTGTTAAAGATGACCTTCAAGGCGCACAATATTATTATATCTCCTTGATAATATATGCCTTCTCTCTAAATCTACATGTTAAAAATACTTTAAACATTGTGAAGTTCTTAAACTAACACGTTAAAGTATGGCAGTATTCAAGATTTTCATATTAAATGTGTATGTTATCAATTTTTTCAAGATTATTTTCTTGCTCCTCTGATTTAAAGTTATGTTTTAATAATTATATGTTTTGAGTAATAATTTGAATACATTGATATGTTGAAAGCGTGAATTTTTCATAATATCATTATTTGAATATCATAGCACAAAACGTTAAAAGGTTATGGCCAAGATTAAAGATTTTCAAAAGTAGGTCAAACACTAAAGTCAAGGTTAAAGTTTCAAATTTATTGGTACCAAAGTGTTTTTCGGAAAGATTTCCAAAGTACCATCAATTTAAAATCTACATGTACATGTTAAGTTTTTTTTCAAAATAAGGTCATATTCAAAGGTTCAGGTCAACCATTATGAAAATTTTGGTTTTTACGAGGAAAGTTCTAAGATGAAGACATGTTATTAAATTTTTTGAAACTTATTTGTTTTTATAACATGCAATACAAATAAAACCAAAGCTTCAACAATTCAAAATATGCCAAAGATTAAAGCTTGTTTTTAAATAGGTCAAACTCGAAGGCCACAAGGTCAAATAAAAAAAGTGTCGAAAAAGGCATTGTCACGAGGAATTTACATGTATTTAAAATGTACATGGTCAAGGTTAAAATTTCTCAAAAGTACATGTAGGTAAGACTCAAAAGACACGGTCAAAAGGTTAAAATTGTGGTTACCCCTGGATATTATCTCGACAAAATGAATATCGTGTACGTCATGTATGTTAAATGTAATATGAAACAAGTTTATCCATCTCTTTTGAAATATAGTTGTAATAACGTTTTGGAAATACATGTATGTAGCTCTAACCATTATACTGTTTATACACCTATATATGACTATGACCAGAATTACACAGGTTTTTAAAAAAGTTAATGATAAAAAACGAATTCTGAACACTATCAAAATCTACTTGTAATTCAAGGTACATCACAAGTATAAGGTCCACCTAAAACTATGATTTATGTTCGTGACCCCTGATGTGGCTTCTTAATAATACATTAAACTGTTAAATCAATATTTGTAATATATTCAACAATTTTAATGATATTCAGTTTTGGTTCATAATAAATCTCTTACAAGTTTGATTGTAATTTTTACACTGTATCCACCTCTGAAATCACACGTTAAAACATATTTATCTGGCGGACGCCATATAAATTATGTGGCGGCCGCCAAATTACGGCCACCAGATATATATGTTTATAAGTTCTAAAATCAATACAATATTTAACATATATAATTGCGGCTTTAAATTTTCTTTTGGCACCAACGGGCTTCTTTATATATAAATATTCAAAAAATATGTATAAATGAATGCATTATATTATTTTAAAAATAAAATAGTTTAACAATGTTCTTCAGACTTAAGGTGAAATATTCCTGTGAAAAGAGAGACAACTTTGTAAAGAAATTATTTTAGGCAATCCAATGAATTTTCAAAAATGCATAAGATTCATATGATAGACACAAGTTTATCTGCATCTCTTTTGAAATATAGTTGTAATAACGTTTTGGAGAACAAGTCTATCACTGAAGTCAACTCAATATATATAAATATTTAAAAAATTATGTATAAATGAATGCATTATATTATCTCTCAATGTTCTTCACACTGTATATTGTTGAGAGACAACTTTTTAAAGAAATTATTTTAGGCAATCCAATGAATTTTCTCATAGTTTTTAAAACAATGATGAGTTATACCATAGTAGTTTAAGTAAATTTTATGTGTTTTGTGTGTGCAGTGTAACAATGAAATTAAAACTGCACATTCTGTCTGTAGTCCGATGTCAGTTAAATGTCGTCTGTAAACTTTAAAATTCTTCTGAAGAATCATGGCCAATTTCAACCAAATGTGTGGACAAAGCATCCTTGGGTGAAATTAAAGATTCAAATGAAGGGCCATGCCCTCATTCAAGGGGAGATAATTGGGAATTATCAAAATTTGGATAAAAAATTATCTTCTGACAGCTGTGCCAAAAAAGATCTTCTTCCAAGAACCACTGTGCCAGGAAAGCTGAAACTTATATGGAAGCATCCTCAGGTTTGACAGTCAGTTTTAAAAATGCAAAAGATTCATATGATAGACACAAGTTTATCTGCATCTCCTTTAAAATATAGTTGTATTAACGTTTTTGGAAAACAAGTCCAACTTAATATATAAATATTCAAAAATTATGTTTAAATGAATGTATTATATTATTTTAAAAATAAAATAGTTTTACCATATTCTTCACACTTAAGGTGAAATATCCCTGTGATAAGAGAGACAACTTTTTAAAGAAATTATTTTAGGCAATCCAATGAATTTTCTCACTAGAGTTTTTAAAACAATGATGATCGTTATACCATAGTAGTTTAAGTCATCATTTTAATCGTCTTTTAGAATATTACCAGTAGGGCTTAACATTTTTCAGTTTGTTTTAGCAAATATTTATATCCCGTGCATACAGAATATATTTTTAAATAAAATCTTTTAACCATATAGGAAAATGAATAACATTCAAACCAAATTAGAAGAAATCTACGGAAAAGGGACCGTAGTTTTCAATGAAACTACTCTCCAACTAGAGCCAGGTATAACCAATATCTTCGATTCATCGCGGGATCCTGCAGTTTTATCCGAATTATGGGTGAAATGGCGAGATGCTACCGGAAAGAAAATGGCTAATCTTTACACAGAGTGGGTTGAACTACAAAATACAGGCGCATTAGAACACGGTACAATTGCTTTATCAGTTTGATTTTATTTATTTATGAAATAAGTTAACTTTTCATCTATGGAAAGCAGTCATCACTTTAAAAAATACACCTCTCTTCTCTCTCTCGCTTTCTCTCTCTCTAAATAAATGAATAAATAAATAAACCATTCAATCAATCAATTGAATGCCGTACATGTTTTATGTTATAACGCTATTAATTCTAATAGGGTTTGAGAACTTAGGAGAAGCTTGGCGCCAGAAAGAATTTTTTGACACACCCGAGCTTGTAGAAATAGTTGAAGGTTTGTGGCAGGAGATCAAGCCTTTGTACGTTCAGCTGCATAGTTATGTCCGCCGGAAGTTGAAAAATTACTACGCTCAGCATCATCCCAACTACGACTTTCCTAATGATGGAAGTATTCCTGCGCACCTATTAGGTATATGTATGTACATGTAATTATAATGTTCATTAGCATAAATTTATAAAAAGCAAAGGCAAATCTTTTTTCTGTAGGAAAAATATGATTCAGCTAACAACGACACACAAATCTATGAAAATTTAATGCAGTTAAATGTAAAAAGAAACATAATTTTAACATGTAAAAGGATGATATTATTACTTGCATTTAACTGAAGGAAGATAATTATGTTTTTGAATTTTAAGGAAATATGTGGGCACAAGAATGGGATAACATCTTTGACATTGTGCAACCATATCCGGAAGTCAAGGAACCGGAATTCGATAAGAAAATGGTAGAAAAGGGTTACAATGTTGGCAACATGTTCCGGATAGCAGAGGAGTTTTATACGTCTATAGGACTGTATAAAATGGTGCCTGATTTTTGGAAACGCTCCATGCTAGTCCGTCCTAAAGAAAAAGACCGGGAAGTGCAATGCCACGCCTCCGCTTATGATTTCTACAACAATGATACCTTTAGGTGAATAATAACATATTACGTATATATTGATATATTTTTTTTATTTGAAAGCAAGGAACTTGTCAACATTGTTCTGTTAAAAATATCACTTTTCCCTTGCTATTAATAATGTTGGAAAGCTAGCTTCTTGCGCACATTTAAACAAAGAGATCATTCAGATGTAATCTTTTATATTTGTTATATAATTTCAAAACCAAGGATAGCAAATGTTATTTTTTTTCTCTCATAGAATAAAGATGTGCACAGAAGTTAAAATGACTTATTTTCAAACCATACACCACGAGATGGGTCATATAGAGTATTTTATGGCATATCGGGATCAGCCTGCAGTGTACAGATCGGGAGCTAATGGCGGATTCCATGAAGCCATCGGAGACACGATCGCCCTGTCAGTGCGTACGCGCAAACATCTTCAGACACTTGGTTTACTTGAAGAAAATTCTGTTTCTGATGAAGATAAAATGAGTAAGTTATAAATTTGCATTCGTGCACGCGTACGAATCCTGTAACGATATTTAAAGTTTCATTTTCAAGTGAAAAAATAATATAAAACCTCATAATATTCCAAATATTCACGAACATGTTTCTTGAGAGTTTCAACCCCCGTAATTGTTAATTGCGTAATTAATTTACATGTTATCAATATTGGAAGACGTCAATTTGTAAAATTTGATTTATTTGTCTTAGTTATTGCTTCTTTGTGAAGCAATGATACTTGATATCGCGATTACTTAACTTAGCAGAGCCCTTTCGCGATGGAGGTACATGTAGGACACGTCTGTTTAATGAGGGCAAATGTGCTATTGAATACAATGCAAGATTGATCATTGTAGAATTTATGAGGTCAGATAAGTAAAAATTCCTTGTGGCATACCTTGCTTATCGCTGAACCAGCCTTATCAATTTTTGAGAGGAGCTAATCCTAAAATGTTACATTTTTAAACTATATTTTTTGCTAAGCGGACTCTTCTCATTGAATTTTCATTGAAAATCGTCACATTTTAAAGCTGAAAAAATAATTGTAATTTTTCCTTATTTGACAATCTACTATTTTGAGTTTAAACCTTGACAATAAATTGTTTTTTCGGCATAAAATTGTTCGACTGTAAACAATGTCATGTGCCCCGGAAATCTAGAGCGTCTCGACTCCCCCACAAAAAGAGCGGTAGTACATGTAAGTTAGATAACTGCATAGGTACTCGCGATATTACGTATTCATCTAGTTTCTTGTCTATTTCAATTTGAAAAAATCACTAATTGAAAAAAAAGAAGGAAGAGTAATTGATTTTCCATTTCTCTTTAACTGGAAAAGATCTGCGCATTTTTTTTAGTAAAACTTATTTTCAAGTTATATTTTTATAATTTGTAAATATTGTTTAAATACATTTTACAAGTCATTTGATTCAATGAAAGGAATTTAGTCAATTTACAAGTTATTTTCGATTGTATCTACATTTCAGAATCTGACATAAACTATCTGATGAGACAGGCCTTGTTAAAGCTAGCGTTTCTCCCCTTTGGTTATTTGGTGGATAAGTGGAGATGGCGCGTATTCAGTGGAGAAGTCACGCCCGACAAATATAATGAAGAATGGTGGAAAATGAGGTACTTCTTTTAGAAATAAGATTCATTACACGTTTTACAGAAAAAGTGAATTTAAACAGAGTGTAATTAAACAGAAAATGAACTACTGTAAAATCACATATTTTCGTGGTTTTAGTAAAAACTCTTGGTTCGTGGGGATTTAAATTTGTGATTAAAGAATTGCTCAGTAGTTACGTATGTTACATTTTACATTTCGTGGTGGACATGAATTCTAAAAACAACGAAAATTAATTGAAAATTTGTGATTTCAAAATTAATTTTAAAATATACATATGAGTATAAAAATAGTAATGATTTGATATCAAATATTATATTTATTTGAAAAAATCGATTTATAAAGAAATACATGTACTTTAAATGTTTAGACAACCTTTGTAAAAAAATTTATAGGTTGGAGTACCAAGGAGTGACCTCCCCTATCCCAAGAACTAATACAGACTTTGATCCCGGGGCAAAGTTCCATGTTGCAGCTAATTCACAGTACATCGTGTAAATATACCTTAGTCTTATAATAAAGTTCAGGAACTCAAATTCAGATTTTCACATTCTGATTTTTTCAAAACATTTCCATAAAAAAATTAAATAAAGTGCAGTAACTGTTATTTTCATTTCTTTTTAACATTTCTCTGCACCCTTTTACGTTTGTGCATTTGAGAATCAACTTTAAAGTTCCTAAAATTAAAACATTCAACAAAAGTAATTCATACATATACTACATTACAGATATTTTACCAGTTTCATCTTGCAATTCCAATTTTACGAGGCCATGTGTAACGCTAGCGGTCATCAAGGACCACTTTATACGTGTGATTTCTACCGATCCAAAGAGGCCGGACTCAAACTTTTGTAAGTTTCACATAATTTCACTTTATCCAAAGATACAGAAATTAAGTATGAAGAAGGAGGCGCAAAATTATATTGTTTTTTAAAAGCTGAAAATAAAAGCTGAATGTTTTTTTAAAACAAAAAACAACCATCTCTTTTTCATTCCGCTGTTTTCTTTATTTTTGAACTTCACATTTAAACAGAATAAAGCATCCGGATTTGACTATCAAACTTAGTTTAATATGATAATGCATGGTAAAACAGTACACAACTGATGAAAATTTATATTTGTTCCTACATATTTTTACTTTAAAAAAAAAAATCATTTTCCCGTTTTAATTAAGGAATATGTTGAAACTTGGTGGCAGCAAGCATTGGAAAGAGGCTCTGCAACAGATGACGGGGAAAACTAAAATGGACACAGAACCTTTCAAAAAATATTTTCAGCCTTTATTGGATTTTCTAAAGAAAGAAAATAAAGGAGAAGTGGGTTGGGCAAAAGCAAATATAAATTGGAAACAGGAGACTAAAAAATAAAGAAAACAACTCATTTCGCTTTTAACTTTTTATTTTTGGTAATATTTACAGGTAGTTAATTGTAGACAGGACACCCCCACCCCCCTAATTTTCAACATCGTGGCCTGTTGAGATATTTTTTGTATGGAATGATTTTTCGTATTGTCACGATTTTCCAATGGTTTGCAAGATAAATAAGATATTATTAAATTGATAATATTTGCGAGGAAATGTCAAACAAGCCCAGGTGTTGAATATTGGGGGGGGGGGGGGGGTAGAGTTCCTGTCCTCAAGTACATGTACCTGTGGTAATATTATTAGAAGTGAAGCACCGAAATTATATAACCTACAAGTAACAATAATTATTATCTTCATGAGGAACTCTGTATCTAGCTGGTCTGAAAAAAAAAGAAATGGACATCCAGAGAAATAATCAAGAAGCCGTACACGTTTGTGTGCAGGGTGGCACTGTAGCTCCCAGGTTTTCCAGAACAGTGAGCAACAGACTAGATCTGCTGTTGTATATATACATTGGAAGAGTCACTAAATATATAATGGTGAGTTTAATGTTTGTATGTCCTTAGAAAGCGTTAAAATCAAACACTAAAATTTTAGAATCTTGCGTGGTCTGTGGTTGGATATAATTTTTATCCTACTTGCAAGTTTTTTTCTCCCGAGTCTTGGCGATCAGATAGAGTTTGATACATGTAAAGTTGACATTATATATATATCAAACTATGTGGGAGTTTTTATAATAATCACATTTTAACACTTCGCAACCGTTTGTATGAAACAATGTATAAGCTTATCTGTTGTAAAAAGGGGTGAAACATGTGATAAAAGGATAACCGAACACGATTATTCAACGGAAAATAAATCGTTTGTATCTAGGAGTTGCCGCTCTTTGCCTGTTTTTTTTATGCGATGAATAAATTTTTTATAGCCCCGCTTGAAAAGCGGGAGGGTATATAGTAATCGTTATGTCTGTCTGTCTGTTTGTACGTCCGTCTGTTACGCTTTGGGGTACCCATCTCTTATCCGCAACTCCTCTCATACCACTGAATGAAATTTGATGAAACTTTCACAGAATCTTTATTACCATACATGAATTGCCATTGTGCACCTCCTATTTTACTTTTTGATCGGACACAGAATTTGGGTTTTCCATAGCAAAACATGGACACTGCCATTATATTCAGATAGGGGGGTATCATTTAGTGAGCTCATTGCTCATGCACAGTGCCTCTAGGTTTTTTTTTTTTTTTTTTTTTTTTTTTTTTTTTGAAACATGATGATTTACTATGTATTCTGTATAAACTAGTCTCTTGAATGGTATGAACCTCTTTTGATAGAATTGAGAATGAAAAAGAAATCCGATAGGAATGCTACATGTATCATCTTTCAATTTTATAAATCTTTACATGTAAACTTAATAAACATATAAGTTTTGTGCATAATTTTATTCTAATTGATCTTTAAGGCATCCTATTTCAACTATGGTTACAACACTGAAGACTGATTTTTAGCTTTTGAAGATATTAATACGATTTGAGAGGATATTTAAGAAAAAATAAATTTTGTTTTGAATACATTGAAATTTACAGCTGCAAGTGACTCTATCCATGCATTTATAAATTTCGTTTGTTCGCACTAGAAATTAAAGTATATTTATTTTTTAAAAAAAAGGAACAACCTTGGTGGTGGGACACCGAACACGTTTTATTCAATATTCTAGGGGCTGAATATACAGGTACATGTAACATCTTTTGCGAAAATAAAATATTGATTATTTATCTTATCTGTTGTGACACCAGAGTACATATAAATATGGAGAGGCGGGTTTGAATTTATTTATAAGTATAAAGTAAGAAAAAATTTTCGCGACCTGTGGTTTAAATGATGTAATAATTATAAGAAGGGTGATCAAAAAGTTTGCGAATCATTTTTGTCTTCTTACCCACAATTCAGTTTGCATTTATTTAATCATGCATGTAGTTGTTCTGATGGTCGAAAAATTACCGGTATGCACATGTATGTTGAATGCACAAATAGACTTTTGATTATAATTTTGTTGTTACTTGTACATTAAGATTTTTAAGCTAACTGCTAAATATCTGCGGACAGCAAAGGCGTTTGACGTTTTTAACCTTTCTTTTCATAAATAAAAATATCCTCAATAATTATTATAATATAGGGGGATATTTTCATTCATGAAAAGAAAGGTTAAAAACATGAAGCGCATGTGGCGGACAGTACAGTTATGGTTATATTTTCGTTTGAATTCGCTTATGGTGACCTAAAGTAAAGTATGCTCGATTATAATTAAAGTTATTTTCCAGTAATATCGCCTGATAATATTAACAAGTTTTTTGCTTATACGGACATGAATTGAATTTCCCATATCATTATTAGTAATTCTAAGTAGAGAGTACCCTACCTCTGATCCTTGTGTGTCTAATTAAAGTCTAACAGTACTATAATATGTCGAACCGGGTCTTTGAAAGGTGATGTACATGTCAACCTTTGGCTGAACTTCATTCTAAAACAATAAAGATTTAGTTCTATGTTGTTCGTATTCTTTGTATTAAATATCATGTCATTTCTTCGAATTAATTTCCTGTGACAATCGGAAAGCAGAGTACAACGGTATTTTATGGATTCAGGATGATTATCTTCTCTGGAAGTCGGTTTCTATATATATTTTACTTTTTTAACGTTGGAGTAACGAGTTATAAGTATTGAATCCATTTGTGATCAAGAAAAGTACTTTTTTGATTATTACTCATGTGGTATGCCAGATATCTTTAACTTCGTTAGATGTATGTACTTTAGTAAATCGGGTTATAGTCTCTAATGTTTTATTTCATTAAGGTACTCCGATCCTAAGGTTCTGAAAACCAAGCATTGACTAATTGAAAATGCTCACCAAAATGCCTCTGAATTTTCAAAGTAACGTGTTTTTAAACTAACTTCAAAGTTTGATAGAGAATGCTTAGTCGTCCATGGAACCCATATTACCTATGTATATAGTTTCAAGTGGGGAATAATAAAATTCCCCTGGATTGGACACCTCCAGCACAAACCGTTACAGCTGAGTTTTCTGAGGCAACGAAGAAAAGTTTCTTAACTAAGGACAAGGCACACATTGAATCAGCAACTTTTGGATTACAATGTACTGGCCAAAGATAACATGTATGATCATCGAGCGATTTGCTCTTGCCGTAAACAATTATTGAAAGTTTACAAAAAAGTATAATCAAGTATTTTTAACATGGATTCAACATTTAAATATTTTATTTTTTTTGGGGGGGGGGGGGGGGGGCATTCTCATGCGGGAGGACGAAAACCACCCAGATAGTCAAGCAATCACTGGCGCCAAAGCTACACCAGGAAGTTGTCCAGCAACTGCAGACCAGCCCTTTTTCGTTGTCAGTCGATGAGAGCAATGACAGGAATTGCGACAAGAGCTTAGCCATCCTTGTCAGATATTTTACTGACCAGTCCCAGACAAGGTTCCTCGCCATGCCTGTGTGTAATATTGGGAGTGCCACCAACATTTTTGATCACATACAGCAGGTTTTTGTGTACGTTTCAATATTAAATCATAATTTGTTAATTTGTTAATATAATGTTTTATAATTTATAATATATATTATTTATAATCTTTATAATTGTAGTGACAATGAGATTCCTTGGTCCAACCTTATATCATTCATGTCGGATAACTGCAGTGTCATGACAGGGAAGCATAACTCCGTAGTTACCAGGATCAAGGAGAAGGCTCCATCCGTGTTCGATTTTGGTTGTGTTTGTCATCTGGCCAACCTATGCACTGTAGCTGGAGTAAAGGCCCTTGCTCTGCCAGTTGAAGATCTCCTTGTTGAGGTTTATTTTCACTTCTATCACAGGTATTTTATTTTAATATGAAATAATAATGATATTGCTTCACTTTAATAAACTAAATATCTTTTATGGTACTTATCACAATTCCATTTTTTTCCTAGTTCCAACAGAAAAGAAAAGTATAAGGAATTCATGGAATTCACTGACATTGAGCCTTTGAAAATACTAAAGCATTCCAGTACACGGTGGCTGAGCTTAGAGAAGTGTGTTGGTCGTTTTCTTCACCATTGGCCTGCCCTGAAGAGTTACTTCAGCTCCCACGATGATGTTGAAAAACCAGGGCGTGTGAAGCGGTGTGCAGCTTACCTAAACGACCATGAGATGTACATGTATTTCAGCTTCTTAAGTTTCATACTGCATCCACTCAATGAGTTCAACACCATTTTCCAGGTAAAATTTTATAATAAAAATGTATGAAAGTATTATATAAGTATAGTAAATAAAAAATTACATATGAATTAAATTTAAAAAAAATGCCCATTGATTAAAAACATTGTTGTCCTTTTTCAGGCAGATGAAGCCAAGATTGGATACTTGAAGGAGGAGATGGTGACTCTGCTAAGGAAGTTCCTAGGGAAGTTTGTAAGGGCCATGATCATCCAGTCCACTGAAGACCTCACAACTGTGCCATTTGAAGACCGGAACCATCAGCTGAATGACAACATCATAGCAGTTGGAGTTACAACAAGAGCCTACATGGTGGACCATGCAGATGAAATTCCGCCATCATCACTTCATAGATTTTTCCTGTATGTATATATTGTTTATTACTTGTTACTGCATGCCCATTTATTTGTCATTTGATATTTTTGCTGTTGACTGATGACTTTTAAAAATTATTTTTAGGTCAATAAGAAAGTTCTACCATGCAGTAACGTCAAAGATGTTGGCCAAGTTTCCATTCAAAGATGTTGTAGTATCCAACCTTGCCTTCCTGAATCCATCTAACAGAGGGGATTTACCCCCATCTGCCCTAACTGTGATAGCAGAGAGATTCCCTTCTCTGGTACCCCAGGATCAGTGGCAAGAGCTAGAAGAGGAATTCATGGACTATCAAACAATTCCTGATACTGACCTTCCATGTTCCCATGAAGACAACAGAACAGATTTCTACTGGGGTAGGATCCTAGAAATGAGAAATAACATTACCAACACTCCAAGGTTCCCACTTATGGGGAAAGTAGTGAAAGCCATGCTTACTGTGCCCAACTCCAATGCTGAATGTGAGAGAGTATTTTCAATGGTGAAGAAAATACAGACAGAGACCCGTGCTAATTTGGATAACAAAACCATCTGTGCTCTGCTTACCACCAAAGTTAACAACATTCAGCATTGTAATCTTGTGAAACCTTCCAAAGAATTGCTCCAGTCAGCAAAAAAGGCCTGCTTGTCTTATAACAAAGACTGTGTTTCTTAGTGGTGATTGATAAGTGTTTTATTGTTTGTATCTTGACTGTGATTGAAACTTCTGTTTTACCTATTCTTACCTGAATTTTAATAGTAATAACTACATGATGTTCTTTTAGTTTGTAACATTTTATTTATTTGAATTATAATAGTAGCTATTTTAGTAACCAGATTTTAACAATGCAATATTGTTTTCATTATGCATCATGTGCCACTGTATTTTTCTTAAATTTGTTATTAAATTGTTGAAACTGTACAAGGTACTAGTAATAACTACATGTACATGATGTTCTTTTAGTTTGTAACATTTTATTTGCTTGAATTATAATAGTAGCTATTTTAGTAACCAGATTTTAACAATGCAATATTGTTTTCATGTTTCATGTGCCACTGTATTTTTCTTAAATTTGTTATTAAATTGTTGAAACTATACATTGTTTTGGTTGCTGAATCAGATTCAGACTTATGTTGGTAGGTGCATTGAATGATATGAAAGAAATCAGAAGAAAAATGTTCAAATGAGGAACATGTATTATGTATAATAAATAATGATATAGATATCAGTGAAAACACAATTAGATTCAGGTTCACGACAAAATGTCGCGAATTTAAAGCTTTGAAAATTGTCGTCACGCGCAAAATCCCCCATGGGAATTTTCAAAAGTTGGCATGTGTGTGTGTGTGGGGGGGGGGGGGGGCTGCAAAATCAGTATGATTATTCTTTTCCTAAGTGTGGTTATGGATATATTAAGGTGTAATATTTCACTGATAAGAGATATTACTTTCTGAAGACATTTTCCATGAAATTCAACGAATGGATTGTCTTGTCAGAGTATACAGATTTCTTTTAATATATTTTTTTCTTCAAAATTTGTTGTTTGTGTTACATTACATGTAACTGTCCAATCGACGAGCATCAATCTTAAGTTGAAATTTTTTACGGTCGATTTTAAAAGCGAACTCACGCACTTTTTTGGAATTGTTATATTACTTCAGAGTATAGGTTGAGAAAAAAGGCATAAAAGCTATTTAAGAAATCACTGTCTAGATTTGGGAGTATGCCAGGGCATCAACAATAGTGGGAAACATGGGATAATTTGCATAACGGGCGAAGCCCGTTATGCTAAAATTATCCCATGTTTCCTACTATTGTTGATGTCCCTGGCATACTCTCAAAACTAGACAGTGATTCCTTATATTTCCATTTCATTGTGAAATAAAATTGTAGACTTAGACATTAAAAATGTAGACTAATAGATTTAAATTACACGAGGACTTCCATGCCAATTTCAATAGTCCTCGCACACTGACGTCAAACACAAAGGCAGCCGCACGAGATTTACATGCATATTTGGCCTCCTTAGCGTCAGACACAGAGACAGATGCGCACGAAATTTGCATGCGTATTAGGCCTCCTTAGCTGCTGACCTATCGACCTGCCTAATTTACGTTCCGGCAGAATTATATCTAGAAATAAATTCCCCAAACTTTCAAACAGTTATCACAGAGAAAAAAATTAGAAATGGAAATATTTATAAATACATGTGTACAGTGGAGCCTCATTTATCCGGACACCTTGGTTCTTACTAAATTTGTCCGGATAAGTGAAATGTCCGGATATCTGATTTACCAGTTAAACATGACAAAATAACATAAAAAAATTCCGTTCCGATGAAAAATCGTCCGGATACTGAAGCATCCGGATATCTGGCGTCCGGATATCTGAAGGTCCACTGTATTCCACAAAATACAAAACAAGAGAGCTTTCTGGCTATCCGAGTTTTATATTTTGGTACTACAGCTGTACATGTATTTGGGAATTCTGAACTATTTACGTCATTTGACGATCCACTGATTAAATCTTTGTGCCCTGTTTGGCATTTTGATGTTATGCATTGTGTTGAAACACGAGCTCTGGCGTTAATGTTCATTATCCATAGCTGTTTTCTCTAAATAATTTCTTTTTGTACATTTAATGATCTCATTGACTCAAATAATCATGCTCTTTCTTTATCCCTTTATGGGACATGATAGAGGGAAAATGTGTAGATGTTGTCAATTTTGACTGAACCAAAATTAATTGACGTCACCCATTTATTTTCAGTATTGCCTTCTTATTTTCTTCTTCTTTATGTTTCATACAAATTGAAAAACAAATTATACAAAACATAAATAAATAAAAAAAATGTTTTTGAAAAAAAAATTCACACTGACAGATGTTCCTGCCCAAAATTATTCCTAATTTTTATACATGCTGCAACGTGGATTGAAATATGCTTGCACTTCAATGTACAAAATGTTAGATTTTAAACAATAATTTTACCAAATCAACAGTACTGAGGGAACCAATGAGATTGCTTCGAGGTCACGTGATGGTGAGTGCTTTGAGGTTTCTTTGTTTACAAAGACGTGCATCTTCATCTCTGTGGAATATATTAATATTTAAAGTCATTCTGACTTGTTTGCTTGCCATTCAAATGCGTTAAAACTTGTGGAATAGTCACAGAACTACTAATAACATTTTCCTAGAGTGGTATATTTTTCTGTAAATACAGAATGCCACGATCCGCGAGGCGGGAGGTTGATGCTGCCATTGTTGAGCCCCATTGTGGGCCAGGCACTGCTTTATCACATACACCCAATTCTCATTTATTTTCAGTTTTGCCTTCTTATTTTCTTCTTCTTTATGTTTCATACAAATTGAAAAACAAATTCTACAAAACATAAATAAATAAAAAAATATTTTTGAAAAAAAATTCACACTGACAGATGTTCCTGCCCAGAATTATTTCTAATTTTTATACATGCTGCAACGTGGATTGAAATATGCTTGCACCTCAATGTACAAAATGTTAGATTTTAAACAATAATTAAAATCATTCACAGACATTTTTTCTTCAAATATTTTTGCTTGCCTTTAATTATTTCTGCCTGGCAACATGACATAACCAAAAGGGTATTATTAATGGAAAGTTGTGTGTTAAATGGAACAAAGGTAGATAACGAACATTTTTTAGCTCACCTGAGCCGAAGGCTCAACTAAGCTTTTCTGATCACATTTTGTCCGTCGTCCGTCCGTCTGTCCGTCTGTAAACTTTTCACATTTTCGACTTCTTCTCAAGAACCACTGGGCCAATTTTGACCAAACTTGGTAAAAAGCATCCTTGGGTAAAGGGGAATTTAAATTGTTAAAATGAAGGGACATATCCCCTCGCAAGGGGAGATAATCAAGAAAAGACAAAAATAGGGTGGGGTCATTAAAAAATCTTCTTCTCAAGAACCACTGGGCCAGTAAAGCTGAAACTTATGTGGAAGCATCCTGGGGTAGTGTAAATTCTAAATTGTTCAAATCATGACCCCCAGGGGAAGGCCGGGGCCACAATGGGGAATCAAAGTTTTATATAGAAATATATAGGAAAAATCTTTGAAAATCTTCTTCTCAAGAACCACTGGGCCAGAAAAGCTGAAACGTATATGGAAGCATCCTGGTATTGTGTAGATTCTAAATTGTTCAAATCATGACCCCCGGGGTAAGGGCGGGGCCACAATGGGGAATCAAAGTTTTACATAGAAATATATAGGAAAAATCTTTGAAAATCTTCTTCTCAAGAACCACTGGGCCAGAAAAGCTGAAACTTATGTGGAAGCATCCTGGTATAATGTAGATTCTAAATTGTTCAAATAATGACCCCCGGGGGATGGGTGGGGCCACAATGGGGAATCAAAGTTTTATATAGAAATATATAGGAAAAATCTTTGAAAATCTTCTTCTCAAGAACCACTGGGCCAGAAAAGCTGAAACTTATGTGGAAGCATCCTGGGGTAGTGTAAATTCTAAATTGTAGGAATCATGACCCCCGGGGAAGGGCGGGGCCATTATAGGGAATCAAAGTTTTACATAGAAATATATAGGAAAAATCTTTGAAAATCTTCTTCTCAGGAACCACTGGGCCAAAAAAGCTGAAACATATGTGCCCATGGAAGGATCATGGGGTAGTGTGGATTTCAAAATGTCTAAATTATGATCATTGGGGTAGGGTGGGGATGCATTATGTATAACAAGAGTGAAATCTGGTAAAGAACAGAATGGTCAAAGCTTCTCAGGTGAGCGATGTGGCCCATGGGCCTCTTGTTAAGCTCTTGATCAAAATCCCAATCACATAATACAAATCAAGAGCAGAGCAAACATGGACCTTTAAAAAACATCAGAGGTTGAATCAGGTGTCATAGAGGAGTGATCATCCCCTGTCGTGCGGTCACAACCGCCGTGTGCTCCTTGTTATGATAGAGAAATAACAGGAAAATTCCTAGACGATGCAATATGTCAATAAGCCTAACATTAAGTATTGAAAACGCCAGTTAACATTGACTTCATGAAAGTTTGTATTTGTTGTCAAGGTCATTTGTATCGACTATTAAACTTGCAAAATGAAATGAAATGAAATGAAATGAAAGACTGTTGTAATTCCTGTCAACTTTTTTTTTATCAAAACCCTTAGGCTAGCTCGTTTGATAATCGTTCAAAGTTAACATAAAGCATATGCGCTTGCCTGTCGAATTAACTGAGAGATATATGAACTCCGTATGCATGGTATGTATGTGATAAGAGTGTATTGGTACATGAGTAAGGGAAATTGCCGATTGATTGATTATCATTGTTTAACGGAGAGTCAGGAAATACTTCAGCCTTATTTCGGCCATCAAATTAAGTGAAAATGACCATTTGTGAAATTTTGGTTTCTTGAGGACCCGAGTGAGCTTTATCTTTTTAGAAAATCAGAGAAACGAACTTTTACATGCCATGAAGATTGCTATCCCTGACAAAGGGCACCACTTAACGTTCCATCCTACGCATTCAAAATCCAAAAAATATGTTAACATTACAAATATATTAGACGAAATTATTAGTCCAGTCTACCATTTTAAAATGAAAATGTGCAGTAAAAATCAATTTCATGTAAAGATTCTACAATTGAATAAACATTGATATCTGCAAAAAATTCATGCATCGTTTGCATTTTGTAAAAAAGTCTACTTCGAGTAGGAGATCTAGAAATATTGGTTGGTACCAAACGAATATGACTGATAGGTAACGGACATTCACAGGATATACATTCTGGGTACAATTCGAAAATATAAATAATCACGTTTACATTGAATCATAAAGCTCTTTTGTTATTTAACCATATGATTATTGTCTTTTTCTACTAAAATATCCAAATATGAAATAGATTTTTTACACTCCGTGGTATCTTTTCATTTAAACTCACTATGTCGACATATAAATGAAAATAACTATTGTTCATTGATTATACGTTAATTGTTGATATATCTAAATGTTGAGCTGAAATGCACAAGTGTTTTCTTTATCTCAGGTACTGTGTGAGCATAATATTTTGAATACATTCTGCTTCATATGGATACAAAAATGGTCTGCTATTAACGGGGCGCGATTTTTACCCATTGGA